TCCTTTATGTATATGAATCCATTTCTTAAGGTAGCCCTATCCGATACAGTCAGACAATAATATTTTTCGTCTAATTCTGTATATACAATTTTCCACGCCTCTTCCTCTTCTTCATCCTCTACTCTGGGTTTTCTACAGATAACTTGTTGATTCATCCTCCGACAAGATTCTGATAATATAATGCCTCCCTCAAACCATTGAAGGTGTAACTTTTAGATGCTGTATTTGTACTCTTTTCCAGTAAACCGAAGTTTACATTCGCAATTAACTTTTGGTTTTAATGTCCTCTGGCATTCTGTCAGATATCTCTGTAGCCCATAATGCATTAACAATCTTCTTATACTCAACATTGTAGACTCTAGACTCTAGAAGGATCTGTTTAATGCAATACCTTACACTTTTTATGTAAATGCTTTAAAAACTGTCCGTATACTAAACAATACAGTAGGCTTTGTAAAAAAACATTGCCTCGCATTGCGGTTTGACTAAGTATAAAGTTAGTGGGTGAAGATTCAATGCTGTGCTCTTTCTTGTAAGGCTTCCACACATCAAATTGCGAAAACACTGGTATCTCGGTCATCTGATTAAATGCATGTGTGAATGGCTTACATCTATTTCTACTATGCAGAACTGCAGAAAAGATGGGCCCTCATGATTCCTAGGCTGGGTAGGGGAGAGTGAATACACTGAACTTTCTGAAACTAGAGGAGGCAAATGCTCCTCGTAAGGAACCTTTGAGAGTTTGCTCCTCGTACTTCCCCGAAAAAACTCGCAAGCCGCTTCTTGCGTGCCCTAGCTCGGCATTTGAACCCTCAAAAATAAGGGGGGGTCCTGTCCGAAAAGATAGGATTTCCGCAAAAGGGGGTACACCAGCTATGACTCAATATTTGAATGGGGTAGCCCTTGCAAGAAGGACCCCAATAAGAAGAAGAGCAATCCCAAACCCTAAACCTCAAGAAACAAATGATCACAGGAACCCAGAATTTGCCAGGTATCGCTCGCGGCCTTTCAGTCTGTCAACGACACTTGCGAGCTGCAAGGCTGGACCCCACAGCAAACAAAAAAACCTGTCGAACCTTCGTTTGTGCTTGTGTGTGTGGGCAATGACTGCACATGTCATGAATACCTCCCAGCCTACCCAGCACAAAGATCTGCCAGCAGCGCCCGAGGAGGATGGGGAAGGGTGGGTGGAGGGGTCCTCGGCCAACGAAGACGCGAACATCCACCTCCCGCATCCTCCCGCATCCTGTGCAAACGCATCTGCAGTGGTTGGTTGAGGTGCTACGATTGCTACGCCTAGTCTACAGAGGTTTGATTTTCTTGGCCTCTTTGGCCTCTTTGGCCTCTTCGGCCTCACAGGATGCCAGGACACAAATTGCATACGGCCGCCCCAAAAAGGGTCGGCGCTGCCGGGCACTGAGGACTTCCCCTTCCATGTCAAAGTACCTCCGCAAAGCATCACTGTCAAAGGCGGCCCCAACGGGCCAAGCAGAACCAAACAGATTGTCCAGCACCGGGAAGCCTCCCACACCAAGCGTATCTGATCCAGAACTGGGCTGATCTCAAATATGGCCTCGTCTATTTTGAGGGCGGGGGGGACTCAGGCTGGGGGTTGAAACACGGGTGGTCAAGAAAACAGGATAGGGCTTACCCCCTCAATTTGTTCAACCTAAGAAATCCAGCCCGGTCCAGCCCCTCAATTTCTTAATTTGCGGGTCAGTCCCCCTCAAAATCCCTCAATTTGATTTGGGGGGTCAGCCCCGATGAAGGTACCCTCCATGTCTTGAGTCCACCGACGCATCGCTTGGAACACAACCGGCCGGCGGGTGCTCAAACAGTGCTGTCACTGTACCTTAAACCATTAGCGGACACCAGCCCCTGATGCTAGAAACTGCAGTGTGTGGAGCATCCAATGATCAAGAAATGCTCTTGCTAGAGGCAACAGACAGTATAATGCTGTTGTTTGCAGCACTTGTGGCCCAACACAACCTCCTTATCTTGGGGAAAGCCTCAGCTGGGGATCTTGGGTCATCGAACATAAAAAGTCTTCGGTGTATACTCGAGGAACGTTGTAGAAGAAAAGCCTTTGTCTCAATTCGTGCGTGCACAGTCAGAACTCCATTGCATGGCGTGTCTCGTCAGTGCAGCTCTGTGAGCTGACTTGTGAGTCTCCCCGAACCACTCAGCGTGCATCGATGCAAAACATGTCGACGTTCGAGCCGTCATGTTGATCATAACAGCCGGCACGAACCAACAAAGTGCTTCGTGATCCCCATGATGAACCGAGTCGTAACAGTGTAACGTCAACAGCCAGAATATCCTCCTTCTTGGGAGGTGCGGAAACGTACAGAAGTGTGTCTTTTACCATGCCGGTTCTCGCTCATGCATCTTCCCCCTTGGCTAGCTTGGCAAGGTTTGGCAATGATGGCACATGCCAGACAACTTTGGGCTGGGTCCCTTGTGTTGCTTTTTGTGGCACATTGTACTGTATCCTCAAATGACCTGCACAGCTCCAGAATCCCAGTACCCCCCAGCATTTTGGGACACACATCACGACACATATTGATGTCTGTACTGTTGCTCTTCGCATTGCCATGGTAGGAAGCGCGTGGTTCATATTTGTCATGTTTGGAAGCTGCAATGTGGGCTTTTTTTCGGTTGCTAGTTTCGAAGTAAGTTTGCGTTTCAGAAGACCGCGGATATGTTAAGTAGGAATTGGGTGGGGGTCGTCTGGGCGGGGTGCTGGGTCTTGTCCCAGAGATGGTTAGAACGGCCAGAGGGGCGGAACCATGCAGAGCCACCTGCTAGGCTGCACTGCGGACGATGGCATCAAGTGTGGGGAACCGTGGACAGGGATTGGCACCGACTTCCGGGCGGCTGCGCGATGGCATGAGCAGTCATTCTTCAATAGTAGACGGCTTGGCGGCTTTGCATAGTTCCTCTTTCGGTACATGAGACTGTTCTTGACCAGAGAACTTCCGCTATAGTAAACCTGAACCCTATTGCGGGCCCAGGTAACTACTATATAGCTTGCAAGCTTTGTTTACGCTGCGCTCCAAGATCTTGACCACCGTGGTGCCGCCAAGCGGCTGCGTCTACATCATTCAGCAGCCCTACTATCCCACGCCGGGCAACGCCACCGAGAGTCTCGAAATGTCGCCGAGAGCTCAGGGGAGGCGCAGCACCAGTTTCGTGATGTCGTAGGTGAGGTGAGGTGAGGTGAGGATCGACCGAGGCACGAGCCTGGCCTAACAAAAGGGCGGCCCCTCCGGCGCAGGGCTTACGGGGCCAGCCCCAACAACACATCGAAACGACAACAAGGCAAAAACAGCAACAGCAACGTGCAACAAGCGAGATAGTGCCAGAGGGTAAGTGGTGAAGTGTGCAAGTTGCCGTGTGCCTTGGGTCTTTCCTTGACCAACTTTTTTTACCTCCACCCAACAGCACACGGCCCTTGAATAATCGCCCCACTCATCTCCATACTGTGCATCGGTGTAAAAATCATCCATTTTGTAGAACTGTTCCGTCTCGACCTGTGACGCAAGCACATCTGCCCAACTGTTTGAGGTCGCATTGGCCAGACAGTATAGCTGATGCGTGAAGGAACCAGCCCAGCAAACCATGGTCAATACCTCCAAACCAGAACAGGCCTTGTTGATACCGCCGCTGCTTCTGTGACCACTCATGAAACATCTTCAGCTGCCAGGCATATGTCGGTCACAGGTCCCACGAGCACCGCTCGGCCCGAAACCCTCCGGCCGATGCCTCCTAACCCATCGGTTGCCAGCTTGTCGACTCCGGGGAGTGGCATCCGGAGTAGACCCTACTCCCCCCCCTCCCCCCGGGGCTGGCACTGTCACTCCATGTTGGTCCTAACCTGCTGATGGTCGAGGTGTTCATCGGCTTAAGATGAGGAAACCCTCCCCACCTCATGCCTTAGTGCCGCCTCCGGGGTCCTCGACCACAAGCCAGCAAGGAAGAATCCCCAACACGGACCCGGAGGGTGATGTCGTAGGTAAGATTGGGTCCCCAATGAGGGCTGCATGCGCTTCTGGGCCCAGTTATTTCACAATAGTCGTTTCGCATTTAGAAAATGCATGCAGACTTGCCGGGACGATGGGCACGCATCAGGTGGCACGACATGCTTCGTGCTGAACTCGAGGGCTGTCGTTTTTGTGGGAGTTTGCGACCGTTTCTCTTTCGCCCTTAGCCTGCAAACTTCTGGTTCAGGTCCATATCCTCGCCAACGACGACAACAACAAGCACCACAACGACAACGAGTACAACGACGACGACGACGACGACAATAGAACAAACAACCACGTCCACCACTTCTACCACGACGACGACCACCACCACAACAGCGGCGTGTCTTTATATAAAATGCACTCCTTGCTTAGCGACCTGCAAAGAAACCTTTTGCTGACATCCGCTGCTCCACCAAGGCGCTTTGCCGGCAGTTTCCTGCGCCTCGCTCAAGCCAGAAGCTTGCAATTTGCACCCCGAAGTAGTTCGCCAAAGCGGGGCAGCCGTGTTGGGATAAAGTGGAGTTGCCCGGGCTTTCGGGATGCAGGCTGAGAAGATGCTGTGTTGTGTGATGACACTCCCTCACCCTTTCTATTAGTTGGGGTCCTTACTGTAAGGCGGGGTTCTTATGTGTGGGGGTACCCCGATTATTGTGAACCACCTTTTTCCCGAAATGCTCCTCTGCCTTGGGAGGCAAAGAAGCCACGAATCACGAATTCTCATTGGATCCCCTAATGAGGATGCGAGAAAAGATGGTAAATTTAATGTATTTCTGCAACAGTGACTCCAAGTCGTACCGCTGGTGCTGCTCTGCAACCTTAGGGTTTAGGGGTTTAGGGTTGAGGGTTTCCCGCCTCCAGGCTTCCTGCTTGGATATCTTTCAGATCACGAATGGCAGTGCGCCTGATGGCGTGTACACCGTGCAAGTCAGAGATTTGGATGACAACGTCCAAGACTCTCGCCTCTTCTGTGACATGACCAATGGAGGCTCTTTGGAAGAAGGAAATAGGTTTAAATAGGTTTAACGATGTTTAACAAGTTTTTTCACCAGTTTACGAGAGTACAAGACCCTGACATGGTCCGAGATGTTCTTCAGAAATCTTCAGAATTTAGATCCTATTGAGACTACAATCACCGATTATCTAAGAGAAGGTTGGACCCTGGTCGGCCAGATTGCTGGCAAATTCAATATCACCGACGACTGGCTCCGGGTCTACCACGACGAATCCCAGCTTCAAACTCGAACCATCACCAACAATACGCGCGGGCCCTTGCACAGTTGTGACAGTTGGTACACCTCCAGCTCACTCGTTGGACTTGCGTAGATTCTGCTATATTCTGCTTTTGGAGACTTGGGGAGGTGGGCCAGTATCCCTGCAGTCGACATGGCCGTGAACTGCGCAACGGAGGTCCGGCTCAGCCGCTTGCTTCAAAGCAACAAACGTGAGCGCAAAACCTTCGCACCTTCCTACATTTTTCGGGGAACTTATGACTTCAGGCCGAAGACGGAGTATGTATATATATATATATATCGTACTAGTAGAAATTTTAGAGTATATATAGTGTCAATAGCTCCAGTCATGCAGACAGAAGGGTCTTGTGAGCACCCTAAGGTAACGAATACGTCAACGAGTCCGTGAGGCCCAAAATGTGCCTGGCTGTGCTCTGTGTTTTTGACGCCTCAAAGTCCCTTGTTGGGTCCCGTAACCCGTAGGTGGGAGATGGATGCGGACCGCGAAATGTCGACGTGGTGGAACCACTCTGCAGGCACAGCGAGCAGTTGTTTCCCTGAAGGTGGTGCCATGCTTGTCGCGTAACGTCCGCGCAGCGTTCGAGCAACGTTCGTTCGCATGCGTTGGCTTGAGAGTCTTCACGTATCTTGAGAGTCTGCGCACCTGTCTTGTTGGGACCTGCTCGCAGCTGCTCGCAGGCCAGGCCGTGATCGACGCTGCAACCGGCCACCAAGTGCTTGTCTATGACCAAGGCGGTGCCAATGAGACTTGTTTTCAGAATCGCTACGGCATCATGAAGCTCTTCGATCATGGCGGATCCTATCCCACTGCCAGCAAAAACGATATCGGCAACACATTTCCAGATGATTTGTGCCTGGCTGTTGGTGTGCAACCTGCCGGTTCCTTCAACGGCTTCACGCAGAACCAGAACGGATATGACGCTCCCACAAGCGACACGGACTGGCCAAATGATGCGCTGCAAGGCGCCCCCATGCTGAGCGTCTGGCTGAAGTAGGGCCGAAAAAGTGCCCTACAGGGTGCCAGAGCTCACCTGTCGAGTTATGACACTTAGTGTTGCCGGTTCGGCAGCTTAGTAGCAAGGGTTAGGTTACAGACGGAATGGTTGGCAAAATCCCAAGTAGGGGAAAGCTGCAAAAACGTCGGGCTAGAGCCTGCCAAACATCAAATTCCTCAAGAGTATGTTCGAGATCCACGACAACCAGACTGATGTCAGAAGGGCAGGAGAGGGAGAGAGAGAGAGTCCCCCACGCCCCGGCGAAAGAAAGAAAGAAAGAGAAGTAAAAATAAAAAGGAACAAGAAAGAGAAGGGCAGGCCACCACATGAGCTAGGACTGATAGGGGTCTGTTAGGGGCCACATGCATGGAGCCCGGTTTTCACCACGGGGCGTTGAAGTTCTCATGTGCCATCATGTGCCATCATGTAGGCACGCTACTTCAAGACTCTTTTTCCCAACCGGTTGACAGAACAGGCATATGAGAATGGAAGTATGTTGCATGTAGGAAGCCTTCTAGCGATATAGCCCCGAAGCAAGCATGGTCGAGCGCCGGCCATTAATTGGGCGAGGGCTTTTTCCCAAACGCGGTTTTACCTGAGCCCGTTTGCTATCGCTGAGAGAGATGAGGTCGAGGCGGGTCTTGAGTCCACCTCGGAACTGCACAGTCCTGCGCGCCAACAGTTCCAGTCATGTGGTGAGTCTTTTGCTGATGGGTCTGGCCTTTTGAGAGCCAATTCCGTCGATGCAGTTTCCAGAATCTCTGGTTCGCTTTGTGTGTACCCTACAGACAGGCGTTCCGAACCTGGGGTTGGACAAAGTCTTCAGCTGCCTGCCTCTCCTGCACTCTCTACAGTCGATGACGCGCCGAAAAGAAGTCACTGCGACTAAGGGATTTGAGTGACTTGAGCCACTCTGCGCCCCCAGCCTCGCCTTGCCTCGCCTTGCCTCGCTTCGGTCCTCTCGACGTCCTCGTGAGGGACTTGGAGGGAAGCCGAGTGCAGCGAGGTCCGGGAGCGGGGCAATGCCGATTCGATGCCCTGATGCGGACCTTTTGGAACCTAAATCCAGCACGGCCCCGGTCTGCCGGAAATTTCGGGAACCCCTGGCTCGACCCCGGATGGACATCATCATGTCGACGATTCCCAAAAAAAACATTACATCAAGAGAGGGGTCGTCCGGCAGAGGCGAGCGCAGAGGCAAAACACGCCTTGCTCCATAGCTTTACAGAAATAAACACGGCTCGGCCCGCAGCTTTTTATAGAGCCTGCGCAATCTCCAACCATTTCTTCGCAATCCCCAAGCTCAAAGAGAAATATGAGTCATCAAAAGCTCCGTGTCTCTGTGTGTGTGTGTGTCTCTCTCTCTCTCTCTATGTCTCCCTTTCTCTGTCTCTCTGTGTGTCTCTCTGTCTCTGCGTCTTTGTGTGTCTCTCTGTGTCTCTCTCTCTGTCTCTCTGTATCTCGCTGTATCTCTCTCTCTCTCCCTCTGTATTCTCTGTCTTTCTGTATCTCTCTGTGTGTCTCTGGATCTCTCTATGTCTTTCTGTGTTTCTCTGGGTCTCTCTGTGTCTTTTCCTCTCTGTCATCTCTCTCTGTCTTTTTTTCTTTGTCGTCTCTCTGTATGTCTTTTTTCTCTGTCGTCTCTCTATGTGTCTTTTTTCTCTGTCATCTGTCTTTGTCCTCTCTGTCTTTGTCGTGTAGTTCTGTCGTCTATCTCTGTCATCTGTTTGGTCTATATAATCTATTTATATCTCCATCTAGTTTTTTTTTTCGGTTTCTTTCGGGAATTCTATTTCGATTATTCTTCATATCTACGTCGTTCTCATCATTTGCATTATAACGACAACGACATCGAAATATATGCATTTCTCTTTTGATTTCGCATGGAAATTTGTAAGGGTTTAGGATTAGGCCGCGTTTTGCTTCCGCGATATCACTGTCGGATAATTATAAGTTTTTGCAGAGAATTGAGCGTTATTGTGGTGTGCTTTATTGGGGAAAGTCTTAACTTAGGTAGGTTTTTCATGAAAAAAATGGGATGTTTTTGAATTTTCTTTCTTGGATTTTTCGGTTTTCTGGATGTCTCGTGTAATTGGGGGTGGTGATGGTTTTTTTGCACAGCGGGGTATCTTGGAGAGCGCGAAATTTGTGTTGTTATTTGTATTTGTGAGGATTCTTGGGTTTTATTTGTTTTCGTAACTAATTGATGTTTTTGGGAAAAGAAAATTCTTATATTGTTTCTTATCTTGATTATTTGTTTGGAGTAATGGTTGAATATTGCACGAATTTTTGTGCTGAAAGGATATCGATTTTTGCGTATTTTTTGAGGTGATTTTTCATATGCTTTTTTGTCTTAAAATAATTTTCAATTTTCTTTGTCATTTTTTTCGTCTTTGTCTTTTGTCTATATTGATATCTCATGTTATTTCTTTTAATTTGTTTCCAAATTTTCTATTGTTGATAATAAGGATCATATGTTCTATTATTAATGGCATCAACGGATGCAAGAGTTATTACAGTGTCTTGGAAAAATATTGGCAACAGAGAAAGGTAGCATTATATAGGTGGAGTATTATATCATCTGCTTACTCTCGGTAATATACCTCCATAAAAGCCTACGGGCTCTATGCCCCCCCTCCTCTTCCGGTCCATTTGGCTGCTCGTGGGGGCTGTGCCGGGGATTCTCGAAAATTCCTAGAGTTTTTGAGAATTCCCGGTGAAAATTCTAGGAATTCTTGGAAATCCCAGGGTTCGAAAATTCTAGGAATTTCTTGAAATCCCCGGTCCGGGGTCGATCCGGGGATTCCCGAAATTTTCCGCCGGACGGGCTCGATCCGGGTTTTGGGTTTAGTGGTTTAGGGGTTTAGGGTTTCGGGTATTGGGGTTTACGGTAGTTTTGGGATAAGGTTAAGGGTTTAAGAGTTTAGAGTTGAAGGGTTTAGGGTTTAAGGGTTTGGGGTGTAAGGGTTTAGGGTCAAAGGTTGAGGGTTGAAGGGCTTAAGGGTGTAGGGTCAATGGGTTTGGGTTTAGGGTCTTGCGGTTTAGGGTTGCTTGATCTAGTTTGTTAAAATGATCTAGAGGTATAATGTCATCATCTTCTTCAAAAAAATTTTTATTTCTGTAATATTCGGCTCTTTGTAATAAGAAAAACTCTCCAGGGGTCATCGATCTTACGACGGCGCAAGAGACGTATGCTCCCAAAAGCACCAATTAAGTATGCGTTCTCCCATAGAGACGAAAATAATGAAGAGAGACTGTTGTAGCCTCGCAATGGACGGAGAGAGACTTGATGCTCGACCACATCCCAAAAGAATTAACCAGCGTCTCGGATGACCACAAAACACCATCCACACGAGTCCTCAAATTCTCTTCCATGCATTCAAACGCCCACCACCACCCCGAATTAGAAAAGAACTTGGAGACTCGCGTCACGATCACAAGCAAACCGAGCTCAAGAGCCAAGAGATGCTCAGGACTCGTTGTCCGGGTAGAGGGCGGGGGCAATGGCTGAAGGGTGCGGCCTCCTCTCTGCTCAGTTGTTATGGGACTGGGTTTGGCTAGTGTTCTGTATCGGAGTCTTCGCGATAGGCTCTTGCACGGAGCGCGAATTGGATCAGCAAAGAGGGGCAGGGAAGGTTACCAAGTCGAATGGACGTCGCTTCAGAGTCCACCAACGTTCAGACAGGTTGCGCATGAATGGTAGAGTGGTGTTCTTGGTGTTGTTGTTGGGGTCCACTACTTTCCATGTTGTCATTGAGAGCGAGGGTCGCTTGGGTTGTTTGGGAGATCCCATGTTGTGGTATTCTCATGGATGTGCGTCATTCGTTTCGGAAGACAAGTGGGATCGCCGCTTGGGGTGGATTCAGCCCAATCAGCTATTTTATTTGCATCATTTGAGATCTTGTGCAGCCAGCCCCTGGGGTGCAACGAGAGGCTGCTCATCGAGCACAAATGGTCTTGGCACGGACGTGCCAATCATGTACGGTATCTTGAGTCCGCTTCGTATGACTCGAGGGCGGTTCTTTCAGGGTCTCTATCTTGGCACGTTGTGTTGGTGGACTTATCGAGTAGAGGACCGCTTGAGATGTGTGGTGTCAGGAATAAGCATGTTGGCGTGGGTCTTCGATTTTCATTTCGATCGGAGTATCTGTCGAGGTATTTCGGTGTTGGGAGGATTTTGGTTGAGTAAACAAATGCCTATCGGGGGACGTTTGTTGCTGCTTGCAATCGTAGGGTCGTACCCGGCTTTTCCAAGAGAGGTAGCGTCTTCCACTCTCGGAGGGGTTGCGGACATGGAAGTGGACGAAGATCAGGTGAGAATCTTTGATGCCCGAGATTCGGTTGGTGCAGATGCTGAGCTGGCTGAATTATTTGGGTGCGGTATCGAAGAAATCCAACAATTGGCTCGGGACTCATTGCCAAGTGGACCGCGGAGTGTGCAGCACACATTGTATTGTCCCATCGCGGGTTGTGCTAGGAGTCGGGGTGTGGGACCAGCTTGGCAATCAAAGGAGGCTTTGAGAGCTCATGTCGATTTGCACTGCATCGGGGAATTACAGGGGCGTCCAAGCGACGCCTGGTTACACGAGCAACGTTGGCAGGGTTGTCGAGTGTGTGGTAAAACTTTGAGCACTCGTATAGCTTCCGGAGTCCACGCTAAATGTTGGCCTCAAGTTAGACCATCTGGTCATCTTGTGACCCCTCACTCCGCGCAGGACGATCTTCCAACTCTACAGGATATCTTCACTTGTCCGATCTTCACTAAAGACTATCTCCCGGCAGAGGTTTGGCCGTTGGTTCGGATCGAGTATGCTAAACTGCTTTCTGCTGTTGTTTCTCAAAACCGACTTGACGCATGGGATCCTTTGCCGACTGAAGTAGGAGGTCGAGGCGTTGGAGACGACACTGTAGGGCAAGCCCAAGCTCGCAGGGCGTGGATTGAGTTACTGATGTTTCCCAAAAGTGTCTGTAGGCAAAATCGGAGAGGCCAACGTCGTGGTCAAGCTATTGCCTTCACGAAATCCCTTTTGACTCGGTGGAGATTGGGAGAACGAAAGGGCTTATGGGATGAGGCGGTGATGGCTGCTAGTACTCGCAAACCAAGGGGAGAGGCCGAGGTTAGACGGTTGGTGGCTTTGGGGCGTTCGGGGCAAGCGATGAAACGTTTAGTCTCCCCGGGTTTGGCCGCTTCCAATGAGCAAATTCGTCAAAAATTGCTTGCGAAATTTCCTCCGAGCCCAGCTGGAAAGCTTCAACGCACCGCGCTGCCGCCGACCCCAGAGATCCCATTGGATGTTCTGTTCCAGTCCCTCAAATCGTTTCCTACTGGTTCGGGGCCTGGCCCTGACGGTCTTCGAGCCGATTTCTTGAAAGGATTTGTGGGTCATTCGTTGGATTCTGAATATTTGATGACGCTTCATCGCTTCATTCGGATCGTTGTCGACGCTGAGTTACCTGAAGGCTTGCGGCCATGGATGGCTGGTGGGACGTTGGTCGGGGTTGGCAAGGTCGACAAGTCAGGGCACCCTGTCGCGCTCGACCAGGACGCTCGTCCTATAGTCATGGGACAAGTTTTCCGTAAACTCGCCTTCAAATGTTCGTTTAGGCTTGACTCGGGTACGATTAAGGCTCGACTTCTCCCTCGTCAGCTCGCTGTCGCGGTAGGAGGGGGAGCGGAGGCTCTCGTCCACTCAACTCGAATGTGGGTTGCTCAGAACAAGTGTAACCAGGACATGGTGCTCCTGCAGAAGGATGTGAAAAACGCCTTCAACACTGTTCATCCCCACGAATTCCTCATCGATTGTAGACAATACGCTCCGGCTTCGTCTCGTTTCGCTGAATGGTGCTATGGAGCTCCTTCCCATTTAGTATACGAAGGCGAACTGTACCCCAGTTCTCGAGGGCAACAAGGTTGTCCGCTCATGATGGCCTTGTTCTGCTTGGTGCGGAGGCGTCATGCCGAAGAAGCTCGGGAGGCCGCCGGGAGTTCGCCCCCTTTTGAGCCGGAGTACGCTGATGACAGTTTTAGTGGCGGTCGGGTCCAAGATGTTCTCCGTTGTTTCCGGGAAGAAATCAAACTCGCTGAGAAGTATGGATTTTCGTACGATCTGTCGCAATGCACTTTGTATTTGCTGGCGGGGGATGAGTTTCGCGGAGATGTGTCGGGTTTCCAAGCTCTCGGAGTTCGGATTCAAACCGGTACCGATATCCAGATGTTGAAAGCTCCGGTTTGCGGGCAGACTCCCTTCATGAAAGAACTTTGTGATGGCAAAATCGTCCGCTTCGAACAATTGTTCCGAGCTTTGGAACAATTACAGAGTCGTCATGTTGCCTTCCACCTTCTCCAGAAGACAATGGGTTTCTGTCAACTGCAATTCCTTGCTCGAACCTCCCCGCGCCACTTCCTGGAAGGGTTATTCACGTGGTATGATGCTAGGTACCGCCAGGCCCTAGAGAATATTTTGGGGCGTGCGATTCCGGATGTTTCGTGGCGCCAGGCGTGTCTCCATCCGAAGCATGGTGGCCTTGGATTGACCCCAGAATCGTTTCCCATAGGAGATCACGACTGTCATCGGGCTGATATTGCGTACGTTGTGGCCTCTCGCTTTACGTCGGAGTTATGTGCTCAGTTGGTCACTCTTCATCCTAACTATTCTATTTTGGGGTGGGCGGTTGCCACTCAGCGCCTTGAAGCCCTGTGTCCCACTTGGAAGGATGCTTTTCAGCGGGATGATACGAGGTTGAAATTTCAGGAGCTGGTTGCGCAAGGAGTGGAGGCGTCGCGCAGAACATTTCTTGGCACCCTCTCTTCGTTGGATCTCACGAGAATGAAATCTTACGGCGAGAGTTGGGCTGATGGGTGGGTGTGTAGTGCTCCGAATCTCACGTTTGGGACTTGTTTTACCAATGTTGCATTTTCTGATGCTTTATCGATGCGACTTGGTCTTCAAGTATTTGACGGAGATGAAGGATGTGGTATGTGCCCCCAAGTTTCGGATAGTTGGGGTCATCATTGTATCGCTTGTCCGATGATCGGTAAAACGCCACTTCATAATTGTGTTCGAGACGAGATTTTTCGAGGTCTTTCAGGGGGTGGTATTGGGTTGAAGTTAGAACCGAGTGGCTTGTTGCCAGCGACGCCCGATCTTCGACCAGCTGATATCCTCACGATCCCGACCCCTCTGTGTAGACAATCCGCTTGGAACTTCCTCCCACGTGTGGCACTGGACTTTGCGATAGTTTCTCAATTTATTGCTGGTGGTAGCGTCTCCAACACGGAACGGTACGCTGAACAGAAGCGAACGAATCGACAAATCCAACAACGTTGTCATGAGCAAGGGATAGGTTTTGAACCGATTGTGTTCGACTATGCCGGTGGTTTGAATGTAGAGGGACGACGTATACTGGACTCGTTGTGCAAAGCTGCAGATGAACCCCTCGGACGGCCGCCAGGCCGAACGCGGAGCCTGTTGCAGGAGCGTATTTCTATACTCTTGCAACGCCACGTGCATGTCTGCTTGGAGCGCCGTCGCACGGTTCATCGCCGGGAGCCTGAGATACTTGCAGAGAATTTCGTGCTTGCTTGAAGATTACTTACGTTTACCAGGGTGGTGATCGGCGCTGGCTTTTTCTATAGGAAAATGATGTTCCTCGCCACAGGCCCCTCGCGCAGGTCTTGAGATGATCGATAGTTCTCATGGTATCAAAGAATACTGCTGTCGAAGGAGGTTGTTTCATTTCTCGTGTTTCACGTTCGTTGTTCATTTCAAGATGGGAATTCGGATGCCAACTGTGTTCTTCTCGTCTCCCGCGATCGTGGGACCTGGGGCTTAATTCGGGGTGGTGGCGGGCTTTTAATGTGCCTTGGGTCCCTTGATTGCTTTCGTTGCTGCCTTTTGTGTGTCTGGATGTTAGGGCATCCGATATCATGGGAGCATACGTCTCCTTTCAAGTGGTGCTTTGGGGATAGCAGTCTCTATGGCGCCGCCGAATCTCTCTCAATGAAGATTTAGATATGAATTGGTGCTTTTGGGAGCACAAATCCATGGATCAGCTTCGGGCAAAAACATAAAGATGTCGACTCCGGAACGGTGAAAGAGATTTCTGCTCTGCCATCAATTCCATGGATCCGGGGAATGGTGCGATTATGTATATAGAAACCAAATGATAAGATATGCAAATTTATAGATATATCATACCTATCAATTCGATTTCGACCCGATTAAATTCGAGATACGCGCGGGAGTGAGCAAGGGACGTATCGCATTTTGAAAAATCCTTATCGGAAAAATTATGGGTCGGATAATGGAAATGGAGGAATGATTTCAAGATTACTCCAGGAATATTGGAATGATTCGATATGATTTTCAAGATGATTCCCTCCATATAAAATTTCGTCATGGGGATCGTGATATCTAGTACGATTATAATTCTATTATGCCTATTTCTTCTTCGAATTTTTCAAGATTTATTATCTAATTTTAATTAGGAATCATTTCGAGATATATATCTGATTTCTAGATTAATTCCTCGAGATAAATATTTCTTTTGGAAATATATTATTTGGGATTTGGAGTCGTAAGATAATAACCATGAATCTTGATGACCTTATTATTTCCAAAGAATCGATGAATTGAATATATTGAATTTATTAATGAAATCTAAATTCCGAAGATTTCTAATTGGTGATTTTCGATATCGATATCTTTGCCTCCGATTTCATATCGAATATTTAGATGATATAGGCCTAGAGCCCGTGCACATATTTAAGAATATCGAAACATTTCATCGTAAGTTCTGACGAACTTATCCATTCCGAAGATGATATAGATTTCTTCCAAATTCTATGATATCTCTCTCGATGATCGAAAATCTCGTATTAATTCATAATTTATGGAATATAAATCTCTTGCATAAATTCCAATGCCGAAATGAATATTCCAAATTGAAGGATATTGGAACGACAAGTACAATACGAGAGAAATTCTTGACTAAGATTCCTATCGACTTATAACCATATTTTCAAATGGCTTGCGCCAATTCTGGCGCGGATATATTGCGCTGATGCATGTGATTCCCTTCTTGTTTTTGCGGTATTACGTGTCTTTAGCTATCGTTACCACGCCTTAATTGCCACCATTGACGATCTAAAACGAGAGGAATCTCACGAATTTGAAATATGCTTCATAGCGTACTAAAAGCCCTATAAAAATATTAAATTATAAAGAACCTGTGACGCATAAATTTAATATATTTTAATGGGCTTTTGGGGAAGCGAATGTAAGGTTGGGACACAAGACCCTGAGAATTTAGATGTAGAACTCAAGCCCCCAATAACAGCGAATCCACCCGTCAGCCCCAGCTCCCGAATAAGTCTCCATTCGCTTCCGATCCCTTCTAGGTAATTGGAGCAGAAAATCGCCATGGGCTACGGCGACCGCTTCTTTCAACAAATCCTTTTGCTTAAGCTTGCACTCGTCATCCTTCAAACAAGGACCCACTTAGGGAACGAAATCTCCAATCGTTGCAAAGCCACTCCCAAGCTCTCGAACAGAAGTCCCGTCCAATCACAATCTTTTCAATCTTTAACCCCAGCCCGCCCCGGTCAGTAGGGAAACCAACTTGCCACCACGTTTGATCTGAGAACGGTTGACCCATGACTGTTTGCAGAGCTTGTCTGAATCTACTTTCGTACCAATCAAATAATGAAAACAAGAAAATACGCGGGGCCGTGCGTTACCATCCCGAATTATGTGGGGGAAAGGGGACTCGGCCCAGAAACGAAACATTTACATGACATGAATTTGGTTGTACCCGCAACCGAAAGCGGAGGCGAGGCATGAAGGTTGTTGAGGATTGGGTTGGAATCCTTTGGGGGTTGTTCAACTATTTCGAGAATGGTTGCTCTGCAAGTGACCCAGCACTTTCCGAAGCTACCCAGCGGTCCTCACCTTGGATATCTAGGCATAGTGGCCATGCTAAGAATTTGTTCAATGAGTGCTGGAAGTTCTGTCGAGTGAAAGACCCTGAAGGCCCAAATCGAGGCATTGCTCCCCTTCTTGAACAGCTCGAGTTTGCACGTGCACGATGTTACGACCGACGTGGATTTATAGATCTTGATTCCTTAGCGCAGCATACCGGAGATGTCTTGCCTCACCATATTTTTTTGCCAGACCAGGGAGCCGTGATTGACCCTGCCGAGCACCTGCGTGGTGAGCGGCTCGCACAGTTCCTCTCGACGCCAGATTGGGTTCCCGAGCTAAATGAAAGTGCCTCCAAAAGACCTAAACCCTGCCACAAAGTTTGAGAGTTAGAGGTAGTACTCAATCTGGCGAGCCTGTCGTCGCAGGGTTCTTTACAGTTCCCCACAAAGCTGATTCTGATCGCTTAATCACAGATAGACGTCCGCGGAATGCCACTGAACAGCGACTGTCGTGGGCAGTTTTGCCGCAAGGCCCCGATGCTCACCCAGCTTGTATTGCACCCTTGGGAATCCATCCGTGGAAGTGCTGATGACATTTCTAACTACTTTATCTGCTGAAGCACCACGATGGGTGGATCCGCCGACATGCGGTAGGCAGAGCCTTTTCGGGTTCTCAGTTGCGCAGGTTTGGAGCTCAGTCGATCGCCGTTACTTTTTGGCTCTACGCACCATCCCTAGGGGAGATCTCAATGGGCTTTGTCTAACTCAAGGGACTCACGAATCGATTCCCGAGTACTTGCACGGTCCCACCACCATATCGAATTGAGCCGGGGAGAAACAAAATGTCCGAAAGAAGAATATAACCAATACCAACTCGATTCGAGAAACTCTAGCGAGAGATCTCAACAACAGAACTATCGCTTCACCACAGAAGATCCATCAAAATCATCAGTCCGTCCTGCGCTGGGGGGGGGTCTCCTGAGAACACAATCACGAGATCAGAAATGAAAGTCAAGAATGAAGTGGTCGCATTGATCGGAAAAGACTTAGTCGCCCCTCGTGGCGACGTTGCACGCACCTATGCAAATAACGTTGCAATGCAAACGAAATACGTTAGGTCCCTTGCCTGAGCTTGTCACAATCATCCTTTAAACAAACCCCCCGCTTGGAAACAAAGTTTCCAAACGTTGCGAAGCTAGTGTCAATCCCAAGACCGACTGGTCGCCTGCGCGCGGAAGCAAGACTTCATGGAGATGACGTGTAGAACGAACGGCAACAACATAAGAGACATCGGCTCTCGAACAGAAGTCCCGTCCAGTCGCTATCTTCTCAGCCAACTTGCCGCCAAGTTTGGTCTGAGAGCGGTTGACCCATGACAATTTCCCCAGCCTGTCTGAATCTACTTTCGTACCAATCAAAGAACTTCTTACTGTCTCCTGCCCGTGTGAAAGAAAGATATATCCATATGAAATTCAATATCAGAATCCTTCGGCCAACGTCGATATGACCAGAATAAAAGAAGCCCAACGCCAACGACGTCAATTAACAACCTATTCTCGGCAAATGATATCCATGAAGAAATGCCCAAATACCGCCATTCAAGACCACAACACGCCCCAAACCGCAGTCGTTCAACAGATTTTTCCCAAAAAACACGAAATAGACGCAGGGGACATAGGTGTCGTGGCAGGAAATCATCGAAAGTGACAAACCTTCTCCTCGCCATATATATATTTATAATTATATATATATATATATGTATATATCATCTCTTGACCCAGCGAAAGAACCCCACAACCTAAGAAGCACCGCAAATGACTCTATTCCCCACCCCAAAATCCAGCCCGCCCAAACACCTCCCCTCGCCCCGAATATGCAGATCCCACACCGAACGAAGATGTCGAAAATAAAACAATGACGCTGCTTGAACCCATCCCAACCATCGACCATGAATCCGTCGACGAACCTTCCCCACAACCCTTGAGGCCCCAAAATGCCCCCTTGCCATCCAACCTCCGAATTCTGGATAGACGCAACGCATACCAAGTAAAGCCAACACCCAAGCTCACCGAATCCAACCGCGTGCCAGGAAAGCCGACATCGTCGACCCTGTGCATTCCTATAACGACACAACAGATCTCCTGGCTCAATGATCACCCCTAACCCCAAGAAACAAAACCTCATCTCAAAGGTGGGAAGACGCATCGCTGAGCCGAGATCTGTGGGGGGGGGGGGTATGGCGAGACGAACCTTCACGCCGGCATCCTACAACATGCAAGTCTCACCTGTGTGCCTCTCCCATCTTTCCGAAGGCACGGGTGGCTTGGATGCTGAGGCGGATGACATTCTCTCGTCGGAGTGTCATAAACAGTGATGAAGGTCTCCATATAAACTGCGGAGCTCTGAGGTGCAAGTGTTCTCTAAATTGAAGGTTCAGGGCCACGAGCAGTTTCAAACAGGGCTCTGCACTACAATCCGTGGCGTGGCCGGTTTTTTGTCTCGCGCAGCAAGAGAAGGCTGGTCTTGAAATCGGATTCGAAGTGCCGGAGGCCTCTTTCTGGAAGCAATACCCTGAGAGGCGTGACACTGGATCACGACTGGACGGCAGGGTGTGAGGTTCAAGCCGTCTGAATACCCTACTTTCAGGCGTTCTGGGGCTGTGGCTCTCAAGCTCTTCAGGGCGCGTAGCATCATGAACACAATTGCTACTCTTAGCAATAGCAGTATAAGTAACAGCAGTAATAGCTGTAGTAGCGCTGTAGCAGGAGCTACAGCAGGAGCAGCAGCACTAGGTCGCTCTCGCCGTCGGCACCATAAAAGCAATAGTACAGCAAGAGAGCGATGCTTTTGTGTTGTCACCACTTTGTACGATGTCTAGCGATCAGCAACCCTACATTGAAGGCTTCGGGCCTTGTAAATGCGCCCCGGATTGTCCATCCCGCTCAGTTCCCACATAATGCAGGCGCTGATGGACAGCAAGATCAAGATCGCCAGAGCAAGATTTGACCTTCTCAAGGCTCTGGACTCTTAGTGGCGGCTCTGCGGGCAGACGTGCATTTGCGGAGATCGGCTCCGGACTGAAGTGGTTCGGGAGTGTGGTTCAAGGCCCATTACTTACCAGTATTTCAAAGAGCTGCAAACCCCTCGTTGGAGGAGAATGTACGAATGCAGCGCCAGAGACAGCCTTAAAACACACAAAACAATAAAGTGCTCATCCTAGCAATGCGCAGCCTTCCACTGTTCACTTAGCTCGTCCACGGTTCCGTTCGCAAAAGACGGCAGTGCTTCCACAAGGCTGGTGACTCGCTGACGCGACTCCTGAATGGGGAACAGCTTGTCCAGTAATACGATTCTGACGGTTTTGCAAAGCAAGGACAACTTAAGCTCAAAGCAAGCCCTAAATTTAATCGTCCTGGAGGACGTCCTTGTTGGGAGGCTCCATGTCCACGTCTCGGAATCGACCCTGGGCATGCACTCCATAGTAATAACACACTTGCATTACTCTTCGTGGCGGAAATGGTGACGCATCATGAACGACTCAGAAGCCCCGCCAACCTTATATGAACTCGCTGGCAACGTGAAGTAAACTGGGCTTGGGTGGCCAGAAGAAAATAAGGTGAATGCCTGAGCGATTACATGAGTGAACACAAGTGAGCCGACATGGAGGTGCCCGTAGGAGCTCTTTGGGGGTTCAAGAGCCTGTGATCCTTGCCAAACCAAGGGTTAACCGATGATTGGTGTGCTCATCGCGTTCACACGGTTCGTTGCCATTCGTCTTGGCAACATCCACACCCTCTGAATCCAAGGTTAGGACAGTAGATTTTGTATATTTCGTGGTGACCAACCATTTGGAGAAGCCATTGACCTGTGAGCTAGGATTTAACCTCGAAACCCTAAACCCTAGACCCCAAACCCGACGATTGAGGACCAGATGTCAAGGTCCAACGATGGTCTTTTGCGCCAGGATCTAATACACCCAATCTTGAAAGCAAAAAACCTCCAGCTTGTTCACTACAGTTAGGTTTGGTATCTTGGGTGGGGTTTCCATGACATGAACACCGCTGGCTTGGATTCTAAGGGTGAACAGGACGTTACAACACAAGACCTAAACCCTGCACTTTCAGTAGAGACCCTGCTGGTGCCTGGAGCATGTCCATCTCAGAGAAGAGAGCATTCAACTGTTGCAAGCTCTGGCCGAACAAGCCACTCCTCAGCGTCGCACAGCTTTCAGGTGTCAGGCTCAAAGACTTCTCTTTGGAACTACAGCTGGAGTTTTAGAGTATTGACTTGAAATCAGGTTCGAGGTAGGGCCGACTGGAACATGATGGTTCAGGGGGGTTCGGGGATTGATTCTGTTTTGTTCGCTTGTCTGCGTCCTTTTGAAAGTGTCTCCTGTATAATCTCTTCTGCAGTCTCGCATGTACTGTCGCGTATGTTCTAGGGGCCTCTCGTGCACCATCGTCCCAGACACTGTTTGCATACTGTCGTGCCGGCCTTCGTATACCTCGTATATGTTTGCCCTTCACTCTCGTGCATCCTTAGATACTCTCACATGCTTTCGCGTGTTCTCATATCACGTTGCTTTTTGTTATTCTCTCGCTCTGGCTCTCGATCTCGCTCTCGCTCTCTCTGTCTCTCTCTCACACTCTCTCTTTTCGTTCTCTGGCTGGTATACTTGGGTATACCCCTCCAGTATACCACTAGTACAATCCCTCCGACATGCTCCCTTCTCCTCTCCCTCTGGCTTGTCCTTACTCTCCAACACGCTCGCATACTTTGATGAATTTCCGTGTGCTCCTGTACGCTCTAACCAATTCTAGTGTCCTATGCTAATCTGGTTTGATTTAGCGTATACTGTCAACCTATGTCTGTGTATTTCAGCATACGCGGGTGTACTTCAGTCTACACACGGGTGTTTGTTTCATTGCCATATGTCAGCACAGTAAGATACAATGCAGCTGACTGTACAAGGTTGTAAACACAAAAAACACACGTCGCCTGCGCGGTAATGACTGCATGCACGCAAGCATGCTCCTACATTGCTTTTGCATTTCACGCGCCTCCTTCGGACTGGCAGCTGTACATGCGGCCCACGGCCCGAGCGAAGCCTAAAGCTTTTGCTGCCACGAAACACCTATTTCAACACTTAACACATGGCTTCGGGGCCAAGGTGCACAAGCGCTTTGGACACCCAGACCTGCAGTTCGTCACGCAGGGCTGCGCTGGCGTCGCAAAGTGGGTGTCGCTCCTCAACAGTGTTAAAGGTCCTGCCTAGGGCTCGCATGTCGAATGTAAAGTTGGTTTTGTGTAAGTTGTAACTAGGCACTTAGTTCAGGGTTTAGGGTTTAGGGGTTGTAAGGCAAAAGGCTGTGCTCTGTGGCAGAGATGGCGTTGCTCTCCTCCGACTCACAAAAGCATGTTTGGGCTTCCAAGGCTTGGCCTTAGGGTTCTTAGGGTTTAGGTTTTGGGGTGTAGGGCCTTGCGTGGGGTAATGGTGTTGCTGATGCTGTACACTATACAGACTATACATGGTGATAAATAACCCCGAATGCAGTACGCTTTTATGCACACTCTGGTGTGTTTCTGTCATTCCCCCAAAGAAACTGGGGTCGCTAGATTTTGAGAACAAAGAGACAATGGCTTTCAAAGTGTGACGCATCATGTGACGACGTGCTCCGGATAGCAGGTAGGACAGCTCTCCGGCAGTACAATATTCAGGACAGCAGGCGGGCGAGTGTACCCACTAAGCCGGCCAGAGAGGCTCCTGCGGGCAACTGTACCGACATGTTGCCTCACGAAGTACGCAAGGGAGGCTCGGAACTAGTTGAGGAGCCCACCCCAATCTACCCCGATCCTTAACTTGAACTGAGGACCCCTAAGCTCACGCTGTTCGGAAAAAAGAACTAAGGCAGAGCCAAACCCAAGATAAAATAAACACATGGGGCCCAGCTTGTAAAGGGACTCCTGCAAAAAAAACAAGGGGCTTCTCCCCATCCTCTACTCAAAAACTGTAGCGTAGGTCTTGAACCCTAGCCGCCCTAGCCAGAACCTCTAAATCTTCAACAGAGTCTCCTTGCCCAGCTGCAGAGCTGCCATTGACTTGCCGACTTCATCCTGGTATAGAAAACTGACTGTACCCTTCCTTTAGTACACTGCCTGCAGAAAACTGTAGAATTCCTTCTTGACATTGCTATATGGCACAGCTCTATCACATCACAGTACTACAATACTACATTGGTGCTGATTTGGAACCTTCAGCCAGAGTATTTGGCACTGGGGGGCGGGGTACTATGCGTGCGCTGCCTTGCGTTGCACTCGGCCCAGGTCCATGTTCTCCACCCTCACATCCCTGAGGTCCCACTGGGCGAAAACCTTCAACATGTCGGCGTCCACGAACTGAGATGCGAGCAGGCCGACAAGCAGGCTGGTCCTGGTCTCCCGCCATGCAAAAACCTGTCGTGAGAATACCCCCACTACAGCACGATATAGCACGGCTGCATATATACTGTTTGCTATCATTGGACAAGTGCTCCACCCTGACCCAGCAACCCTTCGGCAACATACAGAAATGGCATGAAACGGCCGTCCTGGACCAGGTCTTCCTCAAAGAGATTCGGGCTGCTTCCCGCGCCTGTGCCAAGAACTGGTAGGAGGTCTTGAGGTTGGCGAAGGGCACCGAGCACCTGGGCTGGCCACTGTGACACTGCATCTGTTACACTAGAGAATTGAAACAGCATACTTTGGTAACACATACTGTGTACTTTTGGAGCATGATTGCAGCAGCTCTCGGAAGCATTTTCTAGGATCCTCTGTGCAGTTGGGGCAGTGCCGTCATGTGCCGCCTGGACACGAGGTGTAGTCTTTCACGATCGCAAGTGCAGACTTGAAACTCTGCCAGTAGTCGGCCATCGTGTCGAAGTAGCCGTCCAGTTGTTGCCGGAGCTGCCACCATGTGTGATCGACACTGCTTACGGCCGTCATCAGAGCTTGCTGCTGCAGCTGGTCCATGATGTCTGAGAGTTTGTTCCTGAGTTGCTCTTGGATCTTTCGCCAAAGGAATCACACATCTTGCGCTGGAGCCATGGGCTCACGTACCGAAGAGCGCAAAGCCTGACCAGGGGGTACAAGGCTCTGCTCCGCGCGGATCCATGATTGGCGTTCCTTGCTCTTTGACGCGGTTTTGCGGAAGACGCCCAGGGTGTGGACTTTGCTCTTCCAAACACGCTCCATGGCCTGTGCCGCCTGCAGAATACACAGCCCCAAATGCAAGTTAAGCTGAACAGGGTCGAACATCCGAACACAAACCGATAGGAACCGCGAAGATACTACGTACACCACGGCAACCAACAGAGACGCGGTGCACGACACGAGATCCGAACCGAAGTGTGCTATCCGTGTCTCTCTCTCCCTCTCTCTCTCCATTGTCTGTCCCTCTCTGATCTCCTCTCTCTCTCTCTCTCTCCTATCTCTTCTCTCTCTCATCACTTCCTTCCGGCGCCCATGGCCCCCCCAGGTGAAGGGGGCCGCCCCAAGGCGAGCGTCCACCAACTCTCTGTCTCGTTCTCTCTCTCTCGCTCGCTATCGCTCTCGCTCTCGCTATCGCTCTCGCTATCGCTCTCGCTCTCGCTCTCGCTCTCGCTCTCTCTCTTTTTATCTCTCTCTCTCTCTCTCTCTCTCTCTCTCGCTCTCACTGTCTGCGTTTGTTGGGCAACCGAGGAGGGCACCCCCTAGGTGCCAACAAACCAAGCTTTAAAAGTGACGACAGTCAGGAGGATGGCGCGACCTACATGCCTCATCCTCGTGACTCTCTGGACTTGTGAGCAACCAGAGTCAAAAACCGACGACAGTCACGAGGATGATGCACCTTCAAACTCATCCTCGTGACTGTCTATACTTTTGATGCTAGTACAGCTCGGCTCGTGCCACCGCGGGTGTGTTCGAGCGCTTTCGGAATTTTGCGCTGTGCGAACACAAAACGCACGATGCCCGGAAATAACCCCTGGAAGCCCACCAATTCGAACGGGAACCCTTCTGCTACAGTATGCACTGCAGTATGCAAGCCAAACACAGTATGCTCTAGTCTGCAACAATGTAATGTAGTAGACTGCATGGTACACGCCTGAAGGGTGCCGTCTGCCACTACCTGCGTGGTCGAGAGCTTTCTGGCGCCGGTAGAAAACTTCATGGTGCTATGCAAGCGACTCACCTGGGCCAGAGGTTCGCTGGGATTCGGGCAGGGTCTTCCACCTACTTGCTACCCGGCCTGTACTCTTTTGCTACAGTCACCTCATGTCACCTCTCGGAGCATCGCAGGTACTGCTACGAAGGGAGCACCGTCGTAAACTACAATACTATGATGCTATAGTACTGTACTATAGTACGATGCTGTAGCAGGCTGTGGCTAAAGCCGTATACGATGTAGAAAATCATGTTCTTGGAGAGAACCCCCCACCTCTTCTGCAAGCAACCGCAGCTCCCTGGTCGAATCATCTGCGTCTCGCTGCGGGTGCGTATCATTGCGTGGCAGCCTCCCCTGGCCTGCAAAGGAAACTGAGGTCCGGGTTTGCGATTTAGGGATCTAGTGCCACGAACGGTCTGGCTTTCCAGTCCCATACAGTATGGGGATGTGTGGGGGGGTGGAGAGGAGTAAGCTCCTGCCCCTGTTTTGCTCCCAAAAACAGAATCCCTTCAGGGGCCCGCACCATGAAGGCTCTCCATGCGGTCGATGAAGGCGCTGAGGCTGCGGCTTGTAGCAGCACCTGCAGGACGAAAGGAGAAACCATCCACCCAGTTTTGGGCGCTTCGCGCACACCACACTTTGGGGTTTAGGGTTAAGGGTTAGGGGTTAAGAGCCTAAACCCTGAACCTGAACGGTCAAAACGGGATTCAGGGATTTGGGAGGTTTTGGGGCCTGGAGGGCTTCACCGGGAACCCCATGATTCTTGGTGGTTCACGAGGTCCTTTCAACCCTATTGGCCCGGCTAGTTCACTCAATCTTTTCCACGCGAAGTTGGGATATTGGTGCATGAACACAGTGAGCGAACACACGTCATGAACTATATTGATGTGATGCGTTCGCTTGCTCACTTCTTTTGTTGGGTTTTTCACTCACGGGTCCTACAGTAGTGATACTATGTCAGGCTGGTCATCGCCCTGAAAAAAGCCCTAAACCCTAAACCCTCAACCCTAAACCCTACAGTAAGAGCCAGCCTACACCCTGTTGGAGCGCTCTGCATGGGCTAGCGTGGGAACGGGAGCGGTGTCTTGCAGACTCCGCACAGGCTTGATTCTTCACTTTTGACCGCATTTTTCGCTGCATTTATCTTGCTTCAGAAACGTCTTGATTCTCGCTTGCGAACTTGCAAAAGCAGGGGATTTAGGGTTTAGGGTTTACACACACAGACAAACGAGCACACCCGGAAAACTGAAAGGCTCAATAAGACTCTCACTATTGCACGAGGACCTGCGGGCCTAAGAACCCCAAACAGCACTGCCACCTGCCACTGGGTGCAGAGGCTCCGAAGCCATGCGCTTCATCTCTGAGAAGCTCCTGCTTTACGATTCGGGTTGTTTCAGTGAGCCTGTATGAACTAGCAGTTTCGGAATTGGCTCCACAAGAAACCTAGATCTAGGCTTGGAGAGCTGTGAAAGCTAGAATATTATCCTGGTGATTCCATTCACGATCTCTGCCCGCTCTTCCAAGAGGCTGGAGCCGGGATACTGGGTGAAATAGAAGTCGAAGAGTGCCTGGAGGTTGCTATTGATGGTCTGCACTGCCACTTCAAGGGTCTTCAAGATCGCGGCATCTCCCTGTTTCACGGCGTCGCGTACACAAAAAAGGTCGCAGAACATTCTTGCCAGAGCTTGGTCCATCGAGCTGCAATCGGACCCAGCCCCGGCTTCGTAACTCGAATCGACCGCCCGGCGCGCGAAGAAATCACCGATCTCTTTAGCGGTGTCAATGCCGGCGGGAATTGCGGAGAGGATCTTGCCAAGTTTTGTCTCAGCACCGATCCCGAACACAGTGACGATCGGTTCGGGCGCTGCGGCTTCAATGCCGTGAATGACCATATCCTTGAAGAAGTCTCAACAAACCCAACTACACACCAAACCTGCTCACGGAAATTCTTGACATCTTTTTGGGACCCTAGCAGGAAAGGCTCAGCAGCTACATGGACTACAACAAACACTAGAAGGTTGCGAAAGCATGTTTCTAATATGTGCCGGAATCCTTCAAGGGCCCATACAGCATGTCAGCAAAGTCCATCGCTTGGTGCTGTGCAGCTAGCCTGGACAAAGCTGACGACACATGCTGAGATGTCCCCACCCATCTGACGTCCACATTACACAATAGGCCAGGCATCATTTGGTGTCGTATAATTCCGTACAACACAGTGCAGCATTATATTTCCAGCGACTGATCGAATGCAGCATAGTATCCTCTATAACATAGAATAGAGGATGACACAGTACATAGTGACAGTGCCCATTGTTTGAATTGCCAGCCACATGGCACTGTATGAAGTAGGAGTGACCTTTCGAAGTACGACACGAACGCTAGTAGCAAATCCCTGTACGAGTAGAGTTGTAGCAGCACAAGGTAACCCCTGTAACATCAACACTACGTTCCCAATACAAAGCGCACTGCACCATCGTCATCCTGTAGTCTGGGCCTTGCTTCTGCATCCCCAGCTCGCTCAGCACATTCCCAGATGGACTTGTAAGTCACATCTTTCGCACTCTCATCTGGACCCCCCTCGCGAGGGAACCACGAATTGCCTGGGGTCAGGGGCAGATGAGGGGGAGAACATCTGAGAACATCTGAGAACATCGAGCACAAGAGCACAGCAAGCAAGCACCAAGACAAGTGCTTCAAAAAATGGGCCCAAGTACCCTTATCTTCGTCGTCATCTGGCGTCTGCCTTACATCACTCCAGATGTAGTAGCAAGGATGCCCTTCTGTCAGCGCCTTGGCGGCGTCATGCATCCCCTCCTGCTTGAAGCCATCCCCAAGGACACCGGGCATGTGCTCGTCCTTGCAGACCTCGGCATATTCTGGCTGCGCTGCAGCCAAAGTCTCCAAGGCTGGCGGCTTTGGTGGCACGGGGCTGGGTTTCTGGGTGGTGGTTGCGCCTGAGCCGTGTCCCTCGAAGAGCGCATTGAAGTCTGTGATCGGCATCACATGCAAGCTACCCAAGGCACCTCTTCCAAGGTCAAGCGGATGGACGACATCGGTGACACTTGAACAGCTCGCTGTAGCTCCGGTGATGCACCACGTGCCCGCGAATTTGTCATAGCTCAGTGCTCCAGAAACGTTGGCTTTGGGCTTGAAGGTAAGGCCTTGTTGAAACTCTGGGCGGCCAGAATCGTCGACTCCTGTGGGGAAATAAATGCCAGCAGCCCCCAAGTTCCCCAGGTCTCCCGAGTCTTCGAAACTGTTGTAGGGCCTGAGAGCCACCGGGAGCTGTGCAAGGTAGCAGCAGCTGGCTTTCAGGCGCATGGAATCAGCGCCTGTGTCCACCTCCGCCTGGATTCCTTGCAAGACATGGCCCTCACCACAGTCAACCTCCAAAAGCCTCAAGAACTCCAGGTTGTAGGCATTCTTCTCCTGTAAAGACACGACCTCAGAGCAGGCGCCCAGTCCATTGATACTGTCGCAGCTCCAGTGAATCTCCAGGCCCTTCTTCCGGAGACCCACCATGGCCTCATTGTTGTGGCAAGTGAGCACCTCAGGTGACTGTGACTCTTGTAGCTCCGACTTTGCTCACGCTATCAAGGATCACTCAACTGTGCAAACTCACCTCGCACCTCAAGTTCTGCAATTCCAAAAACGAAACTACGCATACATGCCTCGCGGAATGAACACTTACCTCGAGGTGGCCTTGGGGAAGAAGACTCTGGGAGGCCCCCCAAGATGGAAAAAGCTCAAAAACCCCGTAGGCTTTTTGGAACTTTCCGTACCCGAAGATTCAAAAAACTAGGGTTGTTTAAACTTTTAAGGGCACCTGGCTTGCCAATAAACCTGTTTGGCTCCAACAGTGGTCCGCTCGAATCCCCCTGGCCTCACTAAAGGCCACAGTTTTGAGTTGATGAGGGAACCGAGGCTTGGGGCCTGTTGATTCGCCCACGAAGGCTCTGCATGCAGGCCCCGAGAGAGCGAAAAGTTCAAAAACATTTTTTTTATCAAACTTCAGCACCCGAAACTTCGAAAAACAAGGGCGTTTGAACTTATAAGGGCACCAGGCTTGCTTGAAACCTGCTCAACAGTGGTCGGCTCGAATCGCTGGCCACAAGCAGCCTTGCGTTGATGAGGGAATTGAGGTTGGGGCCTTTTGTGCCGGTTCGGGAAAAAAGCCCCACAAGTTGCCTTGAAGCCTGTTGGCTCCAACAATGGCTGAATCCCCCTCTAAGCCGTCAAGTCTCAACACGCCGCAACACGCCGTAACATCCAAACGTCACTGCCACTACATCACTACGGCTTTGAATGGAGCATGGGAGCCAGGTCCGCCAAACTCGCAGAGGAGTGGATGTGCCAAATGCGATCCTCTTCCTCGTAGTTTGCATCATCCAGACTTGTTGTGATCCGGTAGGACGAGGAGGTGGCCACATACCCTACTGTCTTATCCTCAACCGTTAGGTAGGTTGTGAGCTGCCCATTCGTTGTGGAGCTCAGATTGAGGCCTTCGAAGTTCCCGTTCACGTTGATGTAGCCAATTCGCTTGGACAAGGTCGCGTCCGAGTAGAGCCATGCTTCCTCGCCGCTGTAGGGATACGCACCCTCCCACGCGTAGAGCTGCTCAGCCGAGCCGTCACACGGGGCCAAGGTATGAGAGAAACACTCCGAGGTCTCCAGGTCTCTGCAAGGCATGTGCTGCAGGCACGTGTGATAACCTGCATGTTCGAATCCCACCTGCCAGGAGAGGTCTACTTGGCATGGTCTAGTTTCATAAAGCGAAATCCATCAGGACTACTGCACGGCTGCACGTGACATTCGACTGAATCAAGAGCTATTGCGCTCGCATCGGTCCCTACTTGCCACTTGCCGAACACCACAAGACCTGTATATACACACAATATACTCTGCTTTATTCGAGCGTACTGTAAAATGTTTTTACACTTTGGACTATACCAAACGACTGTATACCAGCTGTATACTGCACGGTTGCATACCATAGTATACCACAATATTCTCCAGAATACTTTTCTACAAATCTGCTACCGCTCTCCTTTGCCCAAGGAGCGCGCCCTCAGCATGAGCTTCTTGCTCACAGATCTGCCACGAACATTGGCAATGGTGCACGTCGCAGACATGCCCAGGACATTCTCCGCGGGGTTTTCCGGATCCGCTCCTTGCTGCCCAAAGCTAAGTCTCCTCAGGGCGCACCAGGGCGCACCTAAATCTCACTCAAAGACCAACGCTCTAAAACGCGGACACCATAGGGCGCCCAAAGTCTCCTGAGGCCCGAACAGTTGTGCAACACGCTGAGCCCCTTCAGCTGCGACTGCGCTTAGAACTTCCAGGCGCCCGACAAGGACTCTGATCCACAACGAATGGCGGGCTCGCGGTAAGGTTCAGGGTCCACCTCTACTCTACAGGTCAGGTCAAGACTTCAGGAACAAGTTTGCCACTTTTCTCTTCGGGGCTTCCTCCCCAACCGAAAACAAGCAGCATGAGCATGCCTCTGTCGTTTATGCAATCTGGCTGCCACATCAAGCGGGCGAGCGTCACAAGCATCAACAGGCACCCTCATGCGTGCAAAGCATGTGTACCAGGCTTCACACAGTGTTGCGTGCGCACACGGCCGCGCGCCCGCCCGAAAGTGTGCACGCGGTAGGGAAGCCAGTAACGTCGGTGAACCGCGAAGCCCTAGAGAACTCTTGTCGCAGCTCCTCATGGCACCATACTCACAGTAGGCATGAAGCTCCAGATCGAAAATGCTGCGCTTCGCTCCGTTGCTGTAGATGGGTCCACGGATCACCGTGTCGGGGTGAATTTCTTTGTAGCCTCATGCTGGTGCTTCCAGGATAGAACAAAGTTGAAGCTGGAGAACACCCCACGCGCAACTCGCAACATGAAAAATGGGGAAACATGTCAAACAGTGGGCAGGTAAGGGACTTCTGGTCAGCAGCTCATTCAAGGCGTTGCCATCCAGAAGCTGCTGTGCCGAATCACTGCAACTCTTCAAGCTCAGCACCGGCTCCCCGGATCTCTCAGATGCCTTGCAGGTAGCGATACAATGTTCGAGTCTACAGTCCATGAAACTCATAGGTCCGCATGACCGCACGGCGTTGAACGCCCAAGCCTCCAGGCATAGGCTCTCCCCACAGCTGCGGAATCGTCGCAGGGTTGGCGAGAATTTTGTGCTCTCCGCATAGAAGCAAGATCCCAGGAAGTGCTGGCCCCCGCTGGTCTGAATGAAAGCCTGCACTTAGGTTTCATTATCCAGGTTCTTTAGGTTCTTGAGAGTTACCGGCTAAGAAGCGGGGAAGCCTGGAGCTGCCATCGCGTCGCAAAGAAAAGCTCCTGCATGGACTGGTCGACGAGGTCCTAATTTGATGGCGGGGGAAAAGCTCTTCTCACTTGCAGAAGGAGGGAGAGAGAGAGGATGAGAGGATGAGAGAGGGACGGAAACTGGGGCTGTAGGGCACCCTACAAGGTTGCGAATCACTAGTTGGAGCACGTTGGGCAGCTGGTGATCGCGCTTAGGAATCGGTTTGTGAATCTCAGCAAGACAGCCGGGGCGCCATGTACAGAGAAGGAACGAGTTGAATGCCGGAGTTGCAATCGAAGTTGGCAAGTCCACGAGTGCCCTCAGAATTCCTGGTCATTGCTGGGATCACGCAAGAGGTTTGCTCAATATTCTTGCTTGGTTGCGGTTCAGCATCCTTACAGTGCATGCAACTCTATATACAGCGGGGAAAATCTGAAGGGCTGGTTCAGAGATGTATGATGGAAGATGGGATACCAAGCAAAGGCAAACTACATGCAAGATCACTTCCTCCGAGTTCTCAATACAACAGGCGTAGAACGACGTCCCAACAATCACTTGTACTACAACAATCCCTGCACCTGAAATCTGTTGCTCAGACAGCCAAGGTTCAACCAGTGTCCTGCCACACAGCGGATCCCTGCCTCGACCTCCGCAGAGGAGTAGCGCTCTGTCCTGAGCTTGCTCGTAGGCTGGCTTAGCTGGGGATTAGGGTCTGAGGGCCTTCGGGTTTCAAGAGTTTGGGCTCTGTAGTTAGTGTAACCATAAAGTGCGTCGGAATATTGTACTGTGCAACATTGCATACGGTATGTTAAAGGATCGTATCGTATCAGGTACTATCAAGATTCTTCATGCAGAAGATGGGGTGATGGTGGGGCGAACCTTGATTGCCAGTGCACTCTATTCTAACTCATGCTTAGCGACACTATGCAATATGACGCTATTGGTGATTCACTACGCCATTTCATAATTTCGTACTCCGATAGTCATCATTCATCGCCCAGGAGCCATCACCACACAAACTCAACAAAAGACAACACCCTACAAGTTATGCGATTTAGTGCAACGCTTGGCCTTGGAAACTCCATTTCATGTGTGAAGGCACCCGCCTGAAGCCCCAAACCCTAAACCCCAAACAAGAAAAACAACAACAATAGTAATAATAGTTATCATAATACAACTTGTCATAATACCAGCCAGAATGATACAATTAGCAATATCAAAAACTCTATAAACCCAACTTCTGAGCTTGGGCGCCAGCAGCTGGCAACAAGTGCCTGACCGTGGGCAAACTCAGTGCCCAACACCTGGGGATTTGAAGGACTACGGCTTAGGAGCGATGACTTTCATGGCGGGTAAAGCATTATAGTCCGTAGTTTTAGGGAGCTTCTAAAGTTGTGTTCAGGTTGCTGTAGGGGTTTAGAGGATCTCCATTGGTTGTCGGCTGATACAAGTGACATTCTTCCAGGTCTTATTCAGGGGACAGCTTTATGGCCATGTACAAACCAGCAGGGTTGTGATTGACGTCAGGTAGCAGCGTGGCAGCTAGGATTCAATTTTTGATGCTCGATGATGCTCCGATAGAACAGCTGTTCTAGCGTTGTCAAGGTGCCAGTTTCACTTCCGATCAGAAACATGCAAAGTGGTTCAGAAGGCTCCAAGACACCGTCTTGCCAGACGATGCGCTGCTCGGTACCTTGAAAAACGTCAGGCGACAATGCACTCTGTGTTGTGTTTGCTTGTCAGTGTCTGCTACTTTGCAAGTTTGCTTCTAAGACAGGTCCTCTAATCACCTCTGTTCTGATAAGCAGATGGCACCAAATGCAACCCTAGGCCCTAGGCCCACTGCCTTGTTATACAGGTACACCGGTAAAACCCAAACCCCCAAAATATTTGAACCCTCGTTAGGGGAGTCTGCCCCGGCCTGGCAAATTGCCCAGATCCGTGCTCTGGAGCCTATCGAGTCGAACAACTTCTTGGTGCACGTGGAGCTCTCTGGCTCCTGAGCTCTCAAGGTACGTGTAACAAAGCGGCCCACCAAAACAGACTGCACCGCAGGGCTTTCCGAAACTCCAGCCATGTGTGCGCGCGCTTCTTGTAGGAGCGGAACATCTGATCAAACATCAACAAACGTGAGAGCATCTGATCAAAAAGGCCCAAGCTCGAAGTAGAACTCTTCGTCACAGGCCCCCTGATCAGTCGGACCCGTAGCATTGTGCTCTTCCTGACGCTCTCTGCCACGCGTTGAGTACTGAGCTTGCATGTGTAATACTGCACATTGCGCGAATGATATGACAGCTTGCACTTGCAGCATTCAGACGACATCCGCAAAATGCTTGAGCGAATCTAAGAATGAAACATTCAAGCCTCTGATATGCGAACAATATCCACCCGGTTCTAGTTGACAGTCACTCCTAGTCACTTGCACTTTCTGGCACTCGGGTCCTCGCAAGTGCATGCTGTTGGGACTGCACCGCTGTCACATGTCACTGTTGCAACCTGGTTGGTTGCGAAGTCGCCGTTGCTTTTGGGCGTCGTCTCACCTGCAGAGTTTGAAGGAGCTTCTGTATTCTTTTTTGGGCCAGGGGTGCGGGCTGCGCGGGGGTATGTCTGCAACACGTGTGTACGATGCCCAGCCAAGAGTACTGCCTGAAAGGGAGCACGCTGCTATCGCCAGTGCGCCATTGCTGCGTTGCTTGGAGCGCAAGGTGCAGCCGGCAGCATCTGGAGCAAGCGCGAACCCAGTCTGCTCCGGGAAGGTCCTACAGCCCACCACGAATGAACCACTAGGACACTCAGCTCGTGATTCATACCCATCGCTGGTGAGATGGCCATCTCCCAGCACCTCATGGGGTCCCAAAGCTGGTAAAGATGAAGAAGCATCTGCGCCACCATCAAAGCAAACATAGACCAAGTATGTGCCTGTACCGCCACCGGCGTTACCGAAGAGTTCCACCTCTTCTCCGGCCGGGTATGACCTTCTGAAAACCTTGCCCCCCTGCAACCCGGAAGTGCCGAAAATTGCGGAGTGACCGCTGTAATCAGGGTCCTCAGTCCACGAGGATCTGTCTGTCCAGCTAGCAAAGCCCATGTTTTCCTGCCCGCCCCACATGTGCAGGAAGACCTTCGAAGGCCACGAGGAACTGAATCTCCACTGCACATCTACAGCTGCGGTGTTCTTCAAGTCATTTTCGCCCATCAAGTAGTGGCAATCATGATCGTGACCACCAGTAAAGCTGAAATTAAGGTCCCTGTCCGTGTAGACTTTGTGTGCCTCCGTTGCAGGAGTTACGATGACACCCGATGGATACGACACCAGAGGCCTCTCAGCCCACTGAGGGCAAGCAAAAACCACATAAGTGCCTGTGCCGCCCGCACTACCAGCATCATTACCAAACAGCTCGACGTGTTCGCCAGCAAGATATGACCGCCTGTACACGTCTCCTGGCCCGCTTGTGTGGAAGGTGATGCCGTTGCCGCTGCGATCGGTGTCTTTAGTCCAGGAGGACTTGTCTGGCCAGCTGGCAAAGCCCAAGGTTTCCTGCCCACCCCACATGTCTAGGTAGACTGTGGAAGGCCATGGAGATCTGAAACTCCACTGCACATTTGTAGAGGGTAAGGACTTCACATCATTGTCACTGCGCAAGTAGTAGCAAGCATTCTCATATGCACCCACCTGGCTGAACACGTAGTCCCGGTCCTGAAAGACGGCAGTTGAAGTGTCTATTTGAGAGACGGGCAAGACATCTGTGTCGACAGGGGATGGTTTCGAGATGATTGGCTGTGCCAGGGGGCACACAAAGACCAAGTATGTCCCGTCAGAAGCATCATTGCCGAAGAGATTTACAAGCTCTCCCGCGGGGTATGTCCGCTTGAACACCTTCCCCGGCCCGTAAGTATCACCAACATCGCCACCGAAGACCACGCCGCGACCCTCAAGCTCAGGATCTTCAGTCCACAAGGAATGGTCCGGCCAACTCGCAAAGCCATAGTTTTCCTGGTTGCCCCACATGTCCAAGAAAACAGTGGAAGGCCAGGGGGAACTGAAACTGCTCTGCACATCAGTAGCAGGAGTGCTCTTTGCTTCGTTGAAAAGGCGCAAGTAGAAGCAATCGCGATCGTAATCTCCCATTGTGGTGAAGGTGTAGTCTCGGTCTGTGAACACTTTGGCGTTTGTTGCTCCTCGCACACTGATGACGTCTACGTCGCCAACCAATGGCGTCCAGACGACCGGCGGTTGCCACAGACTGAGGCTATGAGGTGTCACTGCGTAGTTCCCGACCTCGTCGACCTTGACATACTTGCACTGCCCACACGTATCCACACCGATTCCTCCTAGCATCAGCTTCTGATCACACTGCATGAAGAGATTCTGGTGGAGGCAGTCGGGCAATGTGAAGGGGTCAGCGGAAGCGAAGGCTCCCAAGAACTGACGCCTCTTCGTGACATGCCAGCAAGCATCCGCGTTGGCCACTCTACATACATTTGCCTCCTTCTCCCATGCAAAGAGTGTGCCAGCGATGCCGAGCTGTCGGTGGAGGGTTTCGCAGCCCCAGTAAAACCAGCATTGCTTCATGGATCCGACGGCACCTACCCAATAGAACTTGCACAAGGGCTCCCCACTGCACATCTCCTGCCGGCAAGATGCAGTCCAGATGCTGATCATTCATTAGACCAATCCCCAAGTGTCCGCCACTATTCCCTATCACGATACAGCTGCCGGGGGCAGGACCTGAATTCTTGAAACATGGCAATGCTTCCTTCGGAAACCCTACACTCCAAATCCATATGAACCTTTGCTAGCTCCTGGCAGACCTCGCTGTCGAAGGCCTCTGCGAGCAGGAAAGTGTGAGTGCGGAACAAGTACCTCTGGTCGCATACGAACGCCCCCGTCACGATGTCAAACGGCGCCGCCTTAAAGTTGTTTGAGCTTCCTGCCGGAATGTCCTCGATGGCATCACCGGTCA